AGGTATTTTAATAACACTCGTACTAATATAACCCTTTAATTCTTTGTAATTTTACATAATGAGACACTAAGTGACTAATATATCCTTGACTTTTGATTTGTTTCCTTCAATTAGCTATTGAATTGTAAATGTATTTTTTTTTTTTAAAGTTGATAACTTTTGTATATCTTATCGGTTTTGCATATATAATATATGAAATTAATCATCTTTTGATGATCTTCGATTTGACATCCATATTGTATATATGAAATAAATAAATTATATTTATCTTTATAATAATAAAAATAATAATATTTATTAAAATATGTCCATTGAATATGGAGCTGGAAGAGTAATTGTTCACAATTTTTCTGGCATAGTGCTAATAATGGATTAGATCAAAATGACTCAATTAAATTCTAGTGCTTCTTCTATTAGTGAAGTTTCTAGAAAAAAAATATATCAAACGACGCAACGCACCTTGGGTCGCTATGGAAACAGCCTCCTTGTATAATTAGAAGAGTAAAGTCTGCGTACAACTGACCCCCAGATCCCAACTTGATGAGAATATACTGGGTATGTTGATGTTGATGTTGATGTAGTAAGGAGCCAACTGTTACGGAGCCAACAGTTAATGTGGGACAGTCCCACATGAAGCTGTCCCATTGGCTGTTGGCTCCATAACGGAACCAACAATTGACTCCTTATCATTATTGTACTAGTATTTTAATAGAAAAAATAAATTCATGTATTTAATGCTTATATCAATTCCACCTCTTTATTAGGTGTGCACTCTTATTTCCAATTTCATTCGCCTTCAAAAGTTCAGCCGCGTACTTCATTTTTGTGAATGTGACCGTGTTTAATTTCCCCTTTAATACCCAACTTACCCTTCACAAGTGCCCCACTAAGGACGGCAGAAAAAAGAAGCCGAAAGCAAAACCGACTCGTCGTGAGCGGTTGGGTCGAACCGTCCAGGGCATTCCCGTCATTTATCCACACCCACTCAAAAAACGGTCCTTTTAAAAACACACCGCCCATCGCCGGATACCATAATAATTTGCTAATTTCCAAATTTTCATCCCACCAACGAAATTGAAAACCGGCGAAAGGGTAGTTTCGAAAATTCACACATGGAACCTACCGGTGCGCCTACCAGCAGCTCGGCCTCCGGCCGCACGTCGGTGATCGACTCCATCCGCGGCTTCACGCTGGCCGGCGTGCGGGTCAACAAGGAGGAGCTCCGGCGGAAGGTCACGATCCCCCGGTACCTACGGCTTGCCATGAGGGAGGCGATCCGGGAGAGGAGCGGCGGCGGGACCGCCGCCGCGGCCCGGCTGCAAGAGGTGGCGGAGCCGGCCGAGTGGCCGACGGTGGTGTTCGTGAATTCGAAGAGCGGCGGGCGCCACGGGCCCGAACTCAAGGCCCGACTGCAAGAGCTCATGGGCGAAGAACAGGTAAACTCTCTTTTGTTTTTCCGACGTGCTCCTGCTGAGTGCGGTGTGCGACTCCACTCGCGGAGGCACGCGTGTTGGACACGGACCAGTTTCTGTATACTAGATTATATATTTTTGGGAGATAATGCGGTCCCGTTATATAACTATTTTGTTGGGGTTTGTAACCATCGGATTAACTATCCACGACGGTTATATGATGATTTAACGATTATATATCTCAATGGAATAGTGTATTTCCCTATATTTTTTTCATACTTTTGGTACAAATATGAAGTAGTTGTGTCCTATTCCATAAATAATCAATAAAATAGGCACTTAAAACTATTTTGTTATGATGTTTTATTTATTTATTTATATTTGAATTTCATGTTTTGTTGGAGAAACTGCCACCCCTCCGTTTCTTGCGGGGGTCTGATTGTTGATAATGTAATTAATATGTAGCAACTAGCAATTAAATACATCTTTTTATTGTACCCAAAAAAAAATACATCTTTTTTAATTTTCTAATATTTTTTTAAAATTTTTTTTGGGAGAATAAGGGGGTGATTATTTACAAAATAATTTACTTATTTTTATTTCAACTCAAAATCTAACTCAACTTTAACTCAACCTCACTATTTTTAATATTATTCATATAATTAAATAATACAAACCAATCATTCTTACACATCACATCAACTTTAATTTACTATTCATCCACTCACATAATTTTAACTACCTATCATTTCCAATCATTTTCAATCATTTATCTCTTACTTTTACATCAAATCAATTTTAATTATTTTATTTTAAATATTATTTTAATACATTGTTGATATCCGAGTTAGCCAGGAATGAGCCGGGGAGACGTCGCCAACCGACTCGAGCCAAAAGCCCGGTCTGGTGAGGAAGTGCCGATCTGGATCATGGATTAGAGTGGCGAGAATCCGTCCTGGGAACAGATTCTCAGCCCGGCTCCCGTCTCAGACCGGGCAACTGCCGGCCTGAATGGGTGCCGAACATGAAGAAAACTATTCGTAGTCTAAAGAGCATCTAAGAACGAAGTGCCGACCTGAAAGTACGAAGAGGCCGACCAGGGACGACGCATGGGTTTCGATGAGCATTAAAATATTCCCACTTGGGAGGTCATCATTGGGCGATGGGACAGGTAATCATGGCCTAGCCCCCTACCAGCCAGCCTAAGTCAGCAAAGCCATCCAGCATTAAATGCCCCCCATGCTGGCATTTAATGCCCGTCAGGCAATGATTGAGGAAACCTCAAATCGCATTAAATAACCGTCAGACGGACGCCGAACTGCCCCGCCGGATTACTGTGCGACAAGACCGGTGAACAGTAGCTGAATAGTGCCACATTAAAGACCACTATAAATAGCAGTTCATCTCATTTATTTTAGGTTGTTGAATTCCAACTAACTTGCCTTCTCTCTATTTTCTCTCTCTAAACTATAAGAAACTCATTGTAAGAACTGTAAGTATATCGCAAGTGCCGACCTCGTACGAGAGGCCGACCTCGTGATCGCCTAATAAAATCGTAATTAAACCGGATTATTCCCCCCTTTTTCAGTCCTGCTTTCTTTATCTTTTATCTTTAACCGTTGACCGAAAACGCTCGTCAACAGTTTGGCGCTAGAAGGAGGGCGGGCACCATAAGTTGCTTGGTGTCAATTGTTCGACCTTGTGAAACCCCATATTCCCACTTTCATTCGCTTCGAATCTCATTCAAGATGGCTTCG